AAGGAATTATAAAATTCAAAGTACTGAGTCAACCTATGTATATAATGAAAACACAGTAAGAAGTGACGTGTCTACAGTGTGATGTATCTGAGATAGATCCTAGTGAAGGAGATGGGCTAGACATTCTCCACCAAGGTAGCATGTGGACTGTGCTCTCTGGAGTTTAAAAACTTCAGCAAACAGTGAAAAATAAACATGTAACTTTAAGGAGAGGAAGGCAGTCCTGACATGTGCTGTGACATGAATGAACTTCAGGTTCGTAACTATGATGCCCACATGTGCATTAAGACCAATTTATGAAACCAGCATACTAACCAACCTAAAGTTTAAAAAAAGCCTCAGAACATAACCAACATAAATGTTGGTATGTGTTATAAAAATGCATTGGCATATGTTTGAGTGAACATGAAGTTAGGTACAAGAACTTGACACTTCAATCAATAGCATTTTTTATAAGAGATCAGTTACGTGATTTCAAAAACCATGTATCTACATACATATATAAATACATATGCAAATGCATGCTCAAAGACAGACACACATTCATTTCTACATACACACATACATTAGAACTATTTTTGTTCCCTGGGTGTTTCTTCACTAATATGAAGATTTTTCCATATCAAAAATAACTAAAGACATTAGATATGACAATAATTCCAACTCAAAGATGGATGAACTTAAGAGCCCATTATGATTTATGAACAGAGTAAATTCTCAGTGTCACAAATTTCTTCATGTCCTAGTAATACCTTCTCTTTAAAAAGATTTTCCTATCTCTTGTTTTTCCTAGCCAGACTTTCAGAAAAGGCTATGCTCATACCATTCCCTCTTCTGTTTTGGCTCTTCTTGCCCAATAACATTCATCTGTCTTCTAGCAGAAGCCTAGCTGTTCAATATGTTCTATGGACCAGTGGCTGCTGCACGGCCTCGAACCCTCAGTAGAAACACATAAATCTGTGCCTAGCCCAGACCTCCTGATTTGGGGTTTGTGTTTCATAGCCTTCCCAGAGGATCTACCCATTCACTCCCATCTCAAGCAGAGAAGGTCTTCTCACCATACTCCAAACACAAAGAAAAATAGTATTGTTCTCCAGGGATCCCTTCCCTTGGCCAGCAGAACAAAAAGTATATTTTAGCGTCCTCTGCTGCTTCCATTGGTGGTAAACATGGCAGGAGAGTCACATCTTGAAAAATCTTTGATGAGAATCCCACAAAGGCTAAACTCAGACTTCTCCTCATTATGAATATGAAATTAAAAAGTTTCTATGTCTTCTGAACTCCCAGTCTTATCCTCCAAACCGCCAAAGATTTGAAACAGGAAGAGCACTAGACAAGGCTCAGAAGCTTTGTGAAACGTCCTTCCTACCCCATATACACCCATGCATCCACAAGCGGTCACCCATCAGATACAGACAGAATCACCACATTTGTTATCTATCTAAACAATATCTGTAAAGTTCTTTGTTTTCAGAAACCTTCCCAAAGTCCAACTTCAAAAGAGAAAAATATTTGTCCATTTTAGTCACTTTAAAAAGAGAGGAACATAAAGCCAGAGTCTAATTTGTGAATTGAATTAAGCGACTTTTTTTTCAAAGGTAAAATTGCCCATCAGCTTGTTTAATATCTCTGAGGTCGGTCATGTAACCATAATGCCACTAAGCCACTCCTGAGAAATACAGTATGACAGTTAGGTAACTCTCCTCCACCTATCAGCTGGCCTGCCACTTTCCTTTGCTTGAGTGAAGTGTCTCAGTCCACATTCAGAAGATATACAGCACCGTTTCTCACCACCAACCACCACCTGACTGGTTTCCTCATCTACAAAATGTGTATGATCATATCTGTCTCCTGGTGAGATTTGGGGGAATTAGTACAACGATACCATATATGCCTAGCACAGAATAAATACTCCGTTGAGATAACTACTAATCTGTTGTTATTCTGAAGACATTAAAAACTACTTAGGGCAAACTCCCTGAGGGAAGGGAACATAGCGCTCTCAGATAAGCATGTAATCACAGAGCCCAGCCTTTCAATTTCATATCACAATCAGTGCATGTTAACTTTAACCATCTTTGTACTGCACCCTCTTTACTGAACCTAATTCTTTCCCATAAAGGAGAGGAGAAAATATTTGGAATAAACAAGCAAACAAATAAACAAAAACCAATGAATTCCTTTACATGGAAAAGTAGAATACAAAATGTCCCTTTAGGACTGTGGATGTAGCTCAGTTGACAGAGTGCTGATCTAGCTTCCTTGAAGCCCTGTTTTTGATACCCAGCACTGTATAGATCACATAAATTCGGCAAGGTAACACAGGTCTGTAATTCGAGCATTCAGGAAGTAGAGTCAGGAGGATCAGAAGTCCAAGGTCATCCAAGCCCTTATGGCAATTTCCAGATCAGCCTGGTATACCTGAGACCATTTCTCCTGGAAGAGATTTTCCAGTTACCTGAAAGAAATTTGATTGCAAATGCAGAAGGAAAAAAAAAACCTCATTCTGCCTTCCATGTAAATAGATAGTTCGTTAACTTAGTTAAGGTTGATTATCATGAATTAAGAACAAATCTCTGTTTCTGCTTCTTTCTATAACTGGAAACAATTAAAAAATGATGACCATACTACCTGGTTGGCAGCAACACCTGTTGGGAAGGGATCATGAAAGCAGAGTCGAGAATGCTAAGCTCACTCTTCCTACTGTCTGCACAGCGATACCTAGCTAACCCAGCAGTATAGTGTACAGGCCCTTGCTGAAAGGCATCCTCCACTGCAATCGAGAGAGAAGTAAGTTCTTTGGGGTTGGATGGATTCAGCAATGAAATAAGCCATCACAGCTGATAAATGCAAACTGTCCTTAAAAATAAAACAAGACAAAACAAACAAAAACAGCAACAGGATTCAGCAATGAAATAAGCCATCACAGCTGATAAATGCAAACTGTCCTTAAAAATAAAACAAGACAAAACAAACAAAAACAGCAACAACAACAGAAACCAAATAGCTCCCAAGCCAGTGCTAGCGTATAGAACAGGGAAAATACACTAACATATCTTTTCCTTTTTCTTTTTTTTTTTTTCAAAAAGTGTTTTCTGCCTATAGGGATAGCAGGTGAGCTAAGAAAGCCTAGAGAAAGTGATTGTTAAAACTGTCAGTCATTCACAAAGCCTGGGGAACCCATTATACAAGTCTCGTAGAAGAAAAAGGTTGATATTTTGGCAACATCCATCCAGGCCAGATGAACTAGTAGATTTGCAGCTGCAGCCATGAAACACTGAGCTGTACTCTAACTGGCCTTGCTTGGGTCCATTCTTCCCACACTAGCTGGCCTATGGGATCTCATGTCCTGCACTCAGGCATTCTCACAGGGCAGGGAGGTATAGCCAATGACAAGGCCTGAGCAATCCCAGACTGACAGCATTGTGGCTTTATTCTTGAGTTCTATGATTTGGCACAGACATACTCTCTGAGTGTGGGTTGACAATTGTGTTTGTTAGGCTGAACCCAAGCTAAGGGCATCAAAACCATGTCACCCACATCCCTGGAAGATGGCCAGCCCAGCCAGTAAGGCCTCCACCCCAGCACTGTATTCTTGGTCTTTCTCCTGACAGCTTCTCATCACCTGAAGCCACTGAGATCAGTTCCTGATTATTCTGATTGATTACAAATATGTAATTTTTCTTACCCACCGTCTTCATTAATCAAAGACATGCAAATTAGGAAGGAAACTTGTCACAGGGTATAAGCTAACAGGCATTCTCTCATTTCCTGATCTTGTGCCTATAAACTAGAAAGCAACCCCCCCAGATATGCATACCTCTGACCTAGCAATTCAACTTCCAGAAATTTAGCATTCACGGATTTAGGAAGTGAAGATTTATTTAACCACAAGGATGGCTTGTGGAACAGTTCATAGTAGAGACAACTTAGAGATCATGTATGTAGTCACATGAGTTTAGTTTAGAAATATCTACAGTAACAGGATATGCTCTCAGAGAACATTTACTGGCGGCAAGAGCCGAGTACCTACGTATTTTTTGTTTCCTTTTTGCTAATTCTATGTTATGTTTTTTGTTTTCTGTCAGCATCTATCAGCAGATATAGTGGCAATTCTGAACCAGAGTTGAGGAGCTATTGATGTTTGCACGGATGTTGGCAGGCACAGATTTAATTCCCCACCCCTACCCTCTGAGCCAACAAGGAACTTCGCAGAGGTACAAATGATAAATATGAGGCCACCCAGCTGAGTGATTGGTGGAGCTAGTACTATCAACCCAGACCAGTCACCCCCATTGCCTCCAGATTACAGCAGAACCCTGCCTTTCTACCCCCACCCTACCCCCATCCCCACCTAACATCAGTGCCCCAGCTCAGAAGTGGGGGTTGCCATAGTGCGTTGAGCTGCAATGCTTGAACTCAATTGTTTTCATGACCTCTCTTCTAAGTGCCTTATACAGAAAATCAAGAAACTTCCACTGCAACAGAATCCCATGAGATCTAGAGTCTTCTGAAGTATGTTATAAACTCCAGGCTTCTCTCAGGATGTCTCAGAATCAAATGTGGGATATGCTTGATGGAAGGAAACTTGTTCTTTCTGTGCCCTGGATCCATCCCTTCATCTTTCCATGACAAAACGAACAACAAACAAACAAATCAAGCATGCTGGCCCCTCAGAAGGTAGCAGCAGAGGGAAAGCAAGGTTTCTGTTCTCTCCTGTGACCCCAGCCCAGGGACTCCTAACCAATCTCTAGCTGAATATGACAGTTGACTTGGCCACACCCAGCCTTGCAGCATCTTTTGCACAGCTGTTTTCTCCTCAGGCAAGATTCATCTGGAGACTGATAGGACTTGCAGACAAAGTTAATGCTTTCTGCAGAGCAAAAGCAGTCAGAAACAAAGGGGAATGTTCTAACAGCCCTATCTCTGAGGTTCCCACCTCAGAGGCAGAGCAGCACTGGACATGCACAAACAGCTCAGAAGGTGGACACTTTACTTACGGATACACATGTCTCGGCTTTCATAAAATCCGGGGCAACACTGGGATTTGCGCCTATACATGGTTTTCTCCCCGTGGCGGTAGGCTGTCCGGTAGCTGATTCTGTGTGAAGGAAAAAGATTGTGCCATTAGCTCTGATTAATGAAATAACAAGAAATAATTTCTATTTTAATAAAAGAAACTATCAGCAGCAATGAAGTTACAAAAAGCAAGTGTTTCAAACGAAAAAGAAATACAGAGTATAGGGTTAACAAGATTATTATAGCTTATTATTAAGTTCCTAGAGAGGATTCCTCAATCCAGCCCATCTGAACTTTATTTCAAGGCCTCAAAAATGTTGTGAATTCTCTACTTCAACTACCTTGAGACGCCATGAAAAGTGTTGACTAATTTCCTATGATACTGAACTAGTCATCATTCACTTATGTTTCAATAAAAGACTTCATAGATTTTCTTTTATCATTCAGCATAGTGTCATCCTACTATAAACGAGAAGACTAATTTCATCATCTGATTTAACTGAAGCACCATTCATTTACTGATTCACCACATACATGCATTTCTTAAGCATTTAGCGTATTGCAGGCGCTGTTTTAGGAACTGAGGAATGACAGGAAGCAAAACAGTATAAAGACTTTCTTTTCAAGAAAATTTCCCTTCTAGTGTGAGAAGACAGAGCTCGTAAAGTTTGTTTAATGAAGAAACATACTAAAAAGAAAACTGGATCATAAAGTGACAGGTAGCACACTCCATAATTCATGATACTATAAATATTTAGCTAAGAGAATTAAGGTATCAGAGTTCCCTTTCATTACATGCACTAATATTTTTGGCTCTGTGTTCTCATGGATCATAGATAACCTATCTTATTTCAATTTCTACATAAACTGAGTCAGACTTGCAACTAGAAACAGACCCTGAGGCATGAGTTCCTAGGAATCTAGTGATGGTAATAGGGAAATGTGTCTTCAATTTTTGCTGGCAAGGTACACCTGAGCATGGATGGGGCCTGCCCTCGAGTGTGTGTGACATTCCCAATGCCACTCCATTTAAGAAAGCTGATGTTCCCTCTCTCAACAGATATTCTTTTCAAATAGCCTCTTGTTTGGGGGTGGGACCTCCTGCCCACTCCTCCTCCTCTTTGCTGGAGTTTTGTCTGGCTTGAGCCTCTTTGCAGGTCTTGGAGATACTCATTGGACTCCATGATTTTTAGTGGATTTTCCCTCTTTTTTGTTTGTTTCTTTTTTTAAGAGAAAGAAATAATGTGAACCCAGGTATGTGGAACCTAAGAGAAACTGGGGCATAGAAAAATATAATAATAAAAGATATGCTGTATAAAATTAAATTATAAAAAATAAATCTGTTTGCACAGTGCTGGGTCCTTAAGCATATTGCCGTTTTATTTCATGATGATGCCGTATTACCCAAAGTATATGCATTTAGTGGAGAAAATAAATGATTCATAATATTAAAAAATAATAAAATAAAATAAAATTCTCAAAGAATTAAAAAAAAAAGAAAGAGTATCTCTCCCAGTCATCTTCTATACAGGAGCTGGATGAGGTTCTTCTAAGCACAGGAAGAACAGTAGATGTCTGTCACCTGCAGCTAGACCATAAGTCACAAAGGCCATGGACTATATCAGCCTTCTGTTGTCCCCTGGGCTTGGGATCAAAGCCCTCAACAACTGCCCACTGGGCGCATGGATGCACTTTCGCAAGTACCTGGTGTCTCTGACAGTATCACGCTCCACAGTCAGGGTCACAAACACCCCCAAGCTTCCATTACCTGTGCCTCGTGCATTTAAACCAGTTCAGGATGTCAGTGCAGCTGGTGTAGTAAATCTGATCGAAGGGATGTGGGTAAGACTCCTGCACAGTGACTGAGTAGCTGAAAAGAAAAGCAAAAACCAGGAATCAGCGATTGGTCCTCCCCTTCATTTTTATACTAGTAATATGATCCCCACATAGAAATCAAACCAAGAACAAAGCCAGAGGCTAAATTATCTTCCTTTGTAACCCCACGCTGGCTTTTTTTCTTTCTTTCTACAGTCCTAGGGATTGAAATCATGCCTTAAACCTGCATGTCCAGCTCCCGTACATACTAGCTTTTAATAGAGAGGACTCCTGTTCTCATAGGTTTTTGATTGAACTAACACAGCCCAAAGACAGATATTAGCAACGATGTAAAAGACAAGGATTCGCATTACACATTTCAGCAGAAATCCTTTTCTTGTTCACGCTACAATAATATTCCCCAAATACATCATTGTCTTCCTGTACTTAATTCATTTCAGGATTCTACGCACAACAAAGACCTTTCATAAAAAGTTCTCACCGTAAGTCGGCAGACAAACAAGGTTAATAAGCAGAGACAATTGCAGCATTCAGAAAGAACTACATGTCAGTGGTTATTTTGAAAAATCAGAACAATTAGAAGACTTGGCTTTCCCGTGCTGGCCCAACTTCCCAGGCAGTAGAGGAGTATACATTATACAAAAATAAAGGCTACAGTGAGTTCTTTAAACTCAGTTATAAATACAGAAATAGGTTGAGCTAATCAGCCTGAAACAATCATGCCAGCAGCTTGCTACCTAGTAAACATTCTGTTCTCTATTACAGTCCACTAATGCCTTCTCGGTAGAGTGGACACATGGGATCCTGCAGCCTGGGAAAGGTAAATAGAAAGAACACCCAATCTTGGGTCTATACTTCTCAATTAGAAAGCCTTTTGCATGTTCCAGTGTATAATATCTGCCTACAACACAATCGGGAGGATTTTCTTTTTCAAAAGGCTTGCCCCAGTTGCTTTAAGTCTCTGTTAAAATCTATACAAAACCAAAATGGGCCGGCATCATTGACTCACCTACAGAGAAATCAATAGTCTAAGTTCATTAACAAGAATCATCAACATGAGAATAGACAAAAAGAAGTTCTAACTTCTACCCTGAAGTTCTACCAGGAAGAATTCAGCTTAGGCAGCGGGAGGCCTGGTTGACAGATTGGGCAATGGTGACCTCACAAACTGTAAATCCCAAACCGGTCTTGGTGATCGTTTTATACCTATGTGTCAGTGGGAGATATACGAGAGATAATCCTACTACTTGCACTTTTATATGTACTTCATTCTTTGGCATGCTGAAGTGTAGTACCTAGGGATGTTTAAGGATCTTCAAGAAATATTGGGCCCACTGAGAAGATCAGTTAGTTAAAAGGAGGCAGGATTGTAATTTGAGAAAGCAGGTGACATGCCTCAGGTAACCCCAGTGGCCCTGGGTCTTGATTATCACATTTTAGATAGATAATCAGAGCTAGCATGGTGATGCCTTCTCAGAATCTCTAATGAACACTATTCTAAATCATCAGTGAGGTCTTGCTATTCCCGAAAGACACAGGTAGGTTCAGCTGCAAAGCCCCTGTTGATGTGAGGTGACTCATTTTGTACAAGGCAAGAGAGAGATCTCTACTAAAATATCAGTGCTCTCAAGATGACATGTCACATTAAGCTACTAGTTTTTTCTCCAGCACTGTGAGGTTCACACAGTGTAAATGCTGAGACTCCCTTGCCAGTCTGTCTGCCCTCCCAGTCAGCTACTTGTAAATAATTGAATCGTAAGGCCACACTATTGTGTCTCTCTTCCATCCCTCTGGGCACAGACCTATGCCATAGCTATGGACCTGGATCACCTACAGAAAAAAATGGAGCCACCTCCCACTCGTGCTTTGGAATGAAAAGTAAAAGAAAAAAAAGAACAAAGCAAACCTTTGCTCTATCAGGATTTACAGTAGGGATTTTGTTGAACTGAATTAGTTTGTCAGAATTAGATGTGACACAGGGTTCCCAGACACCTGTGAAGGGCAAGCTGTGGCATTCAGTTCTGTACACACTGGAGAGCAAAGGTAATTATCTCTCTCTCTGTGTGTGTGTGTGTGTGTTTGTGTTTGTGTTTGTGTTCATGTGTGTGTGTGTGTGTGTGTGTGTGTGTGTGACAGAGAGAGAGAGAGAGAGAGAGAGAGAGAGAGATACTGAGAGACAGAGACAGAGAGACAGAGACAGAGAGAAAGAGAGAGAGAGAGAGGGAGGGAGGGAGGGAGAACAACAGTTAACCTAAGGGCTCACTTCTCAAGATCCACACACCTTGTCTTAAGACATGGTCTCTCATTGGCTCAGAGATCTCTAAATAGGCTCGGCTGGCTACTAGTGACCCCAGGCATCCTCATGGCTCTGCTTTCCAGTGCTGAGCTTATAAGAGTGAATAAGCATTCTAAAAAGGAAGCTGTCTGCATGGGTTGACTGACTAATTAAAACTTTGGAGATTGTAGAGAGGTTGAAAGGCTGTAGTTCCTGAACCTAACTGCAATTTCTCTTGGGCCATCACTAGCCTCATAAAACACCATTCTTGGTTCACCTCTGTCAAACCTAAGATCCTGATAAACTTGTAAAAATCTTTGGGATCTAGTAACTTAGCAAAACCCTCTTCCTTCAGAGGAAGAGCTAAGAATACTTTCCATAGCACCTAAAGTCTAGACTTGAAGCTCCTCTATCCTGCTACAACCTGCCTCTCTGATATTTCTACCATGTGTAGTTTGTCAATGCCCTGATTTGTGACTTACTTTACTCTGTTACAGTAAGAGCTTTCTGAAACTGTTTCCACCTTGGAACAACGAAACTTGGGAGCATAAATCTGGGTTCCTGGCCCATGGTCACTCAGATTTGGCTCCATGATAAACTCTTACTTCCTTTGAGATGAAAGTTGTATTTGTGTGTCCACACAAGCATGACCACCACACTGTGCTTTTTACATGGGTGCTGGGATCTGGCTCGGATCTAGCTCAGGCTTGTACAGAAAGTCCTTTACTGACTGGTCTATCTTCCTACCTTCTTTTTCTTTTAGGTTTTTTTTTTTGAGCTAAATTTGAAGCATGCTTTATTAAATACTAGACAGAACAATGGACACTGGCCAAGTCCATAGCCAGGATTCCCAGAGAATGGCCACAAATTACAATAGTCTGATGCTTATAAAGGCAAAACCTACTAGGCTATGTACTTCCAACCTTCATCCAATAGGGGACAAGCACATATCCTGATATACTTCTTGCCTACACACCTCCCATGTTATCAAGCACATCCTGTGCAGTTGGGGCAACCAACAATGTTTACAGACATGAAAACACATTGCTTGTTGTTTTACACGAATAACAGCTCTCAGCACCCCAGGAAGTTATCTGTCCTTAGGCAAGTGGGACTTACAAGCTAGAAGCATTTTTGTTTTACAGATTTTTTTCCTGTTCTTTAATCATTTTTTACAGTCCAGATTTTATCCCCCTCCCAGTCTACCCCTGACTGTTCCACATCCCATATCTCACCAGCCCCACACCACCCCCATCTCCATGAGAATGTTCCCACCTCACCCCTACCCCACCAGACCTCCTCACTCCCTAGGGCCTCAAATCTCTTGAAGGTTAGGTGCGTCTTCTCTGACTCAGTCCAGACCCAGCAGTCCTCTTTCACGCTATGAAATTTGAAAAACAAACTTTTAAACTGAGGATGAGGGAATTCTGTAACAACTGTACACCCACAGGCCAGCACGTTGCTGCCTCCGTGATCTTTGGGGTTTAGTTTGGGTTTTTGAATTTTCTTACACTATAATCACACAGTGTATTCACTTTTGAAACCTGAGCACACAGTGTAAGCTTTTCCCCATGGTCACAAGTAGTCTTTGTCAGTGTCTACACATAACTCGCTTAATATCTGCCATTGAACAATAAGGCTGTCACTTCAGCCTGCTGCCTGGAAGCTGTACGTTGACATCAGGGAGGAGAATGTACAAAATGGGCCACCTCTCCCAACACCCTCTTCATCACTGTGCCTTGGTAAGTGTCTGATTACTGTTTGAACTGTGTTAGCTCCTGGGCTAGCAGTCCAGGCCATCACACTGACCAGGAGCTGCTCTTGAGAGGCCTAAATGTAAAGAAGGCTGAGTCTGCATTGTCTAGTGTATGGTATGCATCTACCTAACCTACTTCCTATCACAAGTAGCACAGGCTTCCAATGCTCGTGATCCAGTTAGGATTCAGCACTAACAAACGACATGAGGCCTTGACAAATCCTCCCCTCTCCGACTGTCTCCTCTCAGGGGCCATCAACAGAACACATCAAGCCTCAAAACCAAGTGGAAAGCAGAAAGCCCCTCAGCTAAAGGAATTCGATCCCTCTGTTATCTGTGGCTTGTTTGTTGAATCTCCTCAAACACACAGAAACATATCATCATGATTTTAACCTATTAAGTATTACAGGAGAGAAACCCCAGCAGGATTAATTTAAGGTCACAGAGCAGGAGGGGGGCGAGCCATCATCACTTGGACACATTCCAAAGTGGTTAATTACATTTTATCTGCCTGAATTATCTTGTTACTTTAATCAGATATGGTAATAATCATCGTTTCTTCTCTCGGCTCACTTCAGGACTGCTGATTCAATTACTGCCACTTCTGTATTACTAATTGAGGGTTTGGGAAAGAAGCCATTTCTCCTCTTTCAAGCCTTCTTGGTAAGAATCTGGATGAAAAAGCTGGTACTCAAGAAGCACGGGAATGGGAGGCAGCTGAGCGTTTCAGAATCGCTTGCCTTCCAAAGGGACACTGCATAGGATTCCTCCCCTCAGAGGCTGCCCCTTGTGCGTCTTTCAGGATTTAATCTTCTCTCCTTTCGTTTTATGCACAGTGTTCCTAAAATCAGAGTTCCTGCTGTAAAACAAGGAATGGCACTATCTGAAAGTAGCTGTTGAGAGATCAGCGGGCATTCAGGTAGCAGCACCTGACAGCTCCAAAGTGAAGACACACAGAGCAGAAGGTCTTGTTAAAATGCTGATTTTGACACTGTAAGGCTTTCAGAGCTGAAGAGCATGTCTTGCACAAGGTCACATGAGGAAGCTAGGCTCCATTTCCTGGCTCTATGACTCAGGGTATAGGTGATTGTCACTGTAATGAAGAGTCTACCATAAGCCCATTCAAACCCTGTTATCAGGTCCTTGGAAATAGTCTCACTACATTTTTGAAAACATATGTACCTTCACAATTTTTACATATATGTATACATTGAGAGAGGGAAAGAGGGAAGGAGAGAGGGGGAGAGGGATGGGAGGGGGAGGGGGAGAGGGAGAGGGAGGGGGAGGGGGAGAGGGAGAAGGAGAGGGAGAGG